CAGTGGAAAGGGAAATATAGAGTTCTGGTGAGTGTGGGCAGAGTGGCTAGCAGGGCAGCTGTGAGAATCCCTTGAGGCCATTTATTTCTAAATAACTTCAGTTGCCCTGTCTCCACACGCCCTATTTTGAAATAACTATTTCAAAATAAGCATTATTCCTCATAAAATGAGGGTTATGGAATTCAGAATAAGAAGCTCGGTATTTTGAAATTATTTCAAAATAATGGGCTTGCTGTGTAGATGCTCACCTAGTTATTTCAAAATAACACTGGTGTGCAGACATGCCCTTGGAGTAGCTAATTTGTAACAATGGGAACAGTCACAGAAACAATGGATTTTTGAAGAGCCTTTTAAAGTTCTCCATGGCCACTGAATGAACTCCAATGAATATACCCATCTTGCTATATGACAAATGATTTCCAATACACAAGTGGACAGGTGCTTGAGAGGGAATTAACAGAACAAGGCAATTTTTTATTGCTCCATTCCCTGTTGTCCAGTCCCGGCTTTGACACCCAAAGCATGGAGTTGCTTTCCTGACCATCTTGGCTGAAAGCCATCAATAGACCTATCCTCCATGAACTTACTTAATTACTTTTTTAACCCAGTTATAATTTTGGTCTTGGCAACCAGTTCCAGCGGTTCACTATGCATTATGTGAAGTGATTCCTTATGTTCATTTTAAACTTGCCACGTATTAATTTCATTAGGTGAAATTGTATTATGTGAAAAAAAATTCCCCGCTCACTTTTTCTACACCATTCATGATTATATAGACCTCTGTCATATCCTCCCTTAATCATCTCTTTTTAAAGTTGAACAGCTCTAGTTTTTTTTAATCTCTCCTCATAAGAAAGTTGTTCTGTGCCCCATATCATTTTTGTTTGCCCTTCTCTGTGCTTTTCCCTATTCTAATGTATCTTGTTTGAGATGCGAACACTAGAACTGTAAGTAAAGAAATGTGAGACACCAGAAAGTGAATAGGGAAATGATTTTTGCCTCCTCACATAACACAATTTCACCTAATGAAATTAATAGACAACAGGTTTAAAATGAACATAAGAAAGCACTTCACATAATGCATATTCAACCGGTGGAACTATTGCCAAAGCCAAAGTTACAACAGCATTCTAAGTGTGAGTGTACCATGGATTTATATAATGGCATTATGATATTTTTGTCTTATTAGCTATTCTTTTTCTAATGGCTCCTAACATTGTTATCGTATTTAACGGCCGCGGCACACTGAGCAAATGTTTTCAGAGAATGATCCATGATGGCTCCAAGTTCTCTTTCTTGTAAGGTAACAGCTAAGCTAGATCCCATCATTTTATAAGCATTGTTGGGATTATGTTTTGCAAAGCTCATTACTTTACATTTATCAACACTGAATTTCACCCGCCATTTTGTTTAGCCACTCAGCTCCCTTGTGAGATGTCTTTGTAACTCTTCACAGTCAGCTTTGGACTTAATTATCCAGGGTGATTTTGTATGGCCTGCAAATTTTGCCACCTCTTTTTGCAGATTATTTACAAATATGTTGAACTGCACAAAACCCAGAACACATCTGTGGGGAACAGCATTATTTACATCTCCCTATTATTTTACTGCAAATATTTTCTACATTGTCTGATCAAATATTTCTAAATTTGCTACTTTCCCTCAAAAAAACCCTCATTTCCACATGACCACAAATGAAGAAGCTAGCATGTGACATACACTGCTGAGGAGATCAGCCAAAGTACAATCATACAATCAGACATATTGGCACATGAATGGTGCAAGGTAAATTGGGCTTTCATTTGTTTTAGAGTTTTCAGGATTTGTTGTGGAGTCTGTATTTGGATGCACATGGAACATATCTTTCTAACAATGGGGACATATTGAGCAATTTAGACACATGACGCAAAAAATAGCAGAGAAAGTAAACTTCACAGAAAAATATCTGTTCCAATATTGAGCAAGTACTTAAGGCAGGGGTTCTTAAACTTTGTGATACTGTGACCCCCCCTCTAAGTTGCTCACGACCCCTCTGGTGGGTCGGGACCCACAGTTTGAGAAACGCGGACTTAAGGAATTACAACTCCCATTGAAAGTCCCATTAAAATTTTACTACTATCTTTTCAGGGCAAGGATTATGCCTTTTATGTGCCATTGAAAGTCCCATTAAAATTTTTCAGGGCAAGGATTATGCCTTTTATGTGCCCCATGCAGTATCAAGTACATTGTCCCAATGCAGCAAAAGCAGGCCCACCAATGGGAGAGCAAAGGGAGCAGTTGCTCTGGGGCTCAGTGAGTGGGGGCAGCCCGAGCCCTTGACCCTTTAAATTGCCTCTTGAGTACTGAACTGGGAAATCTACGCAGCTCTGAGGACTGGGGGTTGGTGGCATCAAGGGCTGGCTGCCCGGGCCTTGCCTCTTCCACCCAAGGTCCCACCCTTCCAGGGGCAAGGAGCCTGTTCCCCCACACCTTACCTGGGGGCCTGTGGTGACTGCTGGCTCCGCTGAGCAAAACATTAGCTTTATGCTTAATTTTAAGAATTGATTTCAATGAGAATTAGGCATATGCTCAGATCTAACCTCATGCTTAATTGCTTTGCTGAATCAGGTTTACTATTAACCTATTGCAAATAAATACAAATACAATAGTAATTCTGAGGGCACACTAACCACACCAAGTTAGGTGAAATTAAGTACATGAAAATCTTCAACTTTCATTCTAAAGTTTCTCATTTTAAAAGACTGAAAAAAAAATCTAATGATCTAAGTCAGATCTGGCTTATCCACCAACTTCTTGTAAAGTTGTAAAACATTTTAATATTCTTAGTCTCATGCTTTCATGATCAGTCTATTAATACAACAACCATTATTAAAATGAATTTTAGATGCATCACAATTCATTGAGATGAACCCAGAAGGCAAATTTGAGCTACTTGCTGCATGGGTAGGTTTTTCAAATGATCTCAGGTAATACAATACTTACCTAACACATGGACATAGTATTTAGGTACTCTGCAATGACACTTAAACAATGCAAGAACAAGAAACTTGGCGCAAATCTGATAATTCATAACAAGCTACTTAAACTCTATGCTGCACAAGATGGAAAAATAGCCTGCTGCTACAAAAGTTTATGTTGTGTCCACTCACATGAATAGATCTGCAGAAAGACTAACAGGGCACGTCTACATTACAGGGTGAAAGCCAAATTAAGATATACAACTTCAGCAATGTCAGCTGCGTAGCTGAAGTCAAAATAGCTTAACTCAACTTTTGGTGCTCTCCACACAGCAGGAAGTCGAAGGAAAAACCATCTTCCTTCAACTTCCCTTACTTGTAAAATGAGGATTACAGGAGTCGGGGAAAGAAGTCCTGCAGCTCGACATTATTTTGAAATAAGGGCTTGCAATGTAGATGCTCACTATGCTATTACAAAATAACGTCAGTTATTCCGAAATAATGCTGCTTAATGTAGATGCTCACTATACTATTACAAAATAATGTCAGTTATTCCGAAATAATGCTGCTGTGTAGATGTACCCATACTAACCTACCCTTATCCTTGTAGTGAAACTACTCTGTGTTTTATTTTTCAACTAAATCTGAAGTTTAGTGGGCTAACTGCTAGTTCTTCAAAAGGAGTTGAAAATCCTTATTTTTATACTATATCTCCCATTAATTATTAGCAATTTATAAATTCATAGTTATCTGTCTATACTTGTGATGGTGATGTGCTTTTCCTTAGTTGTTTGCATTCTCTTTCCACAAACTGCTTTGGAGATCAACTTGGCTTCAAAACAGATTTTCTTCAATGGAAACTAACACATTTTGCAGAACTATTAAAAAAGGAATTTTAAGAGACATACTTCCAGTTTGAGACAAAAAATACATACTTTGCTACCTGGCATTAACATTTTCCCACTAAAATATTCTAGACTTCTATGCCATTCTGTAAGTTGATCAGCTGCAATTATTGTATTCACCCAATGCTAATAACATAATAAAGGGACTCAGAAGATATTTTCTGTGGAATAGTAGCTAAAAGAATCAGAGAACAAAATAATTAATTCAATTATGTTTGCTTCTGAAAACAGCTGCATTTGCAGTATGGATATTGCACAGGAGTACAGCGTACAGCAAAATAAGGCACCCATCTCTACTGGGGGCTCTAAAAGCAACATAAATTCTAATGCTCATTATAATAATAATAACTTCTGTTCTAGGCACAGAAATCCCATTCACTTAACTGGCAGTTTCATATGGGGCAGGCATGCAGAATATTGAATAGAACAGAAATTTACTTAGTAGATAAGAGAACCCACATTGTGGATAAGATTTGCAATGTGGATTGGTGCAGGTAAATTTGCATAATACTTTCCCTTTTCTTTTATGCTCCCATTATCCTTCTGCAGGCACTAAGTAGTTAAATCTACAGCAAACTAAAGATAACAAGGGCAAATTTAGACAGATGGCATTAGGATTTCAGCTCATTTCTGTTAGCAGCTTTGTGAAACTAACTGTTTTCAAAGCCACCATACATTGCTCACCAATGTGATGAAGTAGCTTTCCTTTTGGAACAGAAATTATAATTTCAACACACGATGCTGCAGCACAACAAGGAAAAGCTTTGAACTAAATTTCTGAGAACTGAGAAACATCATCATTTTTCAGGATTTCCCTTATCTATCTTATTAACAGAATGTTTGGTTCAAGCATTTCTATTAGTGGTAGAAAGAATACTGTAAAAATATGTTAAAAATGTAGCATATGTATTTAGCCATCCTCATTTTAGACACTGTCATTGTGATGTGTGAACCTCAAAGTTACAGAAGAACACGGCTACCCCTCTGAGACTCAAAGTCATCAGAGATCCTGCTTGACTAACCATCCAAAAGTTTGGATGCTCAGACATGTGCATCTGAACCATTAAAAAAGAGCTCTGAGCTGGAGTAAACATCCAAAAACCAAACCAAACCCATATATATTTGCATCAACACATACCAGTCTGCGAATTTCTCTTTCACATTCCCTCTTGATCCTGCTGATTTCCTCTTGGTGTAAGTGATACACACTCCTTATCTCTGCTGCTTTAATTTTGTCAGCTTGAATGACCAAAGTTAAGGCTTCTTCCACTTGTCTCTTAGCCCCCTTAAGTTCTGAAATTTCTTGCTGCATTTTTACTTTCTCCGATTCAAACCCTTTCCTGGCTTCTTCTTTCGCTTCTGTGAAAAGCACTGTTTTAACCTTATCAGGAGCCCCATCTCGCACAGCATTAAGAAGGCCTTGTAATCTCTGGTTTTCATTATCTTTAATCTTTATGACTCTAAGAAGCTCAGCTTCATGCTGTCTCAAAAGTGCTTCTCGAACAGCCTGGAGTTCCTTCATTTTCTCTTCATGAAGCTTGGCCTTCAGTTCTGTGACCAACACCGTGTTTTTATGCTGTTCGTGCTCTTTGATCTGTTTAACTTCCTGATTTTTCTCTCGTTCCAATTTGCTGATCTAAAGAGAGAATAAAAAATATAGTTTTTTGTAAGCAAACTAATTCTCTGTATTCTAATACAGTGCATTCTATCCTGGGAGTTGTCTTTTCATAATTTTGTAACTCAGAGCTGTAATTGTTTATTAACTCACAACACAAACCTACTACAGTGTGCTATAGAATTAGATTTTATTTGGTATTTGGTTCATATTTTTATAATCCGTCACTCTATTATGTGGTGAATGTTTCTTTTTCCAATGGCTCCAAATGAAAATCATCACTGAACTCAGGTACTTAACTCCTTTGATGTCCAGACGACATATTCATTAATTTACTATAGACTTTACTGCACCAAATTTCTTTATGCTAGAAATAGCCTTAAAATGAGGGAATACAATACGTTTAGAATACTTAAAAGACAAGCTGAATGTTCATAGAGCTAAACAAAATCTATACAGCAATATTTTTCTGGGGAGGAAAAAGCTTTTTCAAATGTTAAGAAAAATGTTTTATTTCAGTGTCATAATCTTTGGTTACAAATATATCAGATCTTTTTAAGGAGTTTATTGCAACCAATCCTAGTCTTGAAATTCCACCAAATGATGACTTAGTCCAGGGGACTCTTCGCTGATAATAGCCAATTCTATTTGCAACAATAACACTTCTTTGTGAACATTTATACTCTTATTACCAAGTAAACTCATTGTCTCATACAGCTGATCCAGAAGCCCAGATAAGTGTCTTCTTTGTAATTCTTATATATTCAGTTAACATCATCCTCTAAATCAGTTGTGATACAAAATATAAAAGCATGACCAGTATTTTATAATGTGGTTGGTCATTACATTGGAAGTAAGCACTGACTAAAAACCTCCATCCTTACATTTCTTCTCCCTTTCTCTTAAATTTATGTTAATGTGCTATTGACTTGTTTGTATGTGCCTGCATACCTACAAAAATACTCACAATTAGTGGGTGAACCACACATAGAGTTGTTCCTAGGAGGATGCAGGGCCTGGGGCAACCTCCCCCAGTCTTCTAGGCATAGCCCCCAAAGAAACCCTCCACTACAGGCCCTGCCTCCTGCTCTGCCTCTGCTCCACCCCTGCCTCCCCTCCACCCTTTCCCCCAAGCCTCACCCTTGCCCCCGCTCAGCTCCCAGCTGCACCCTTCCCACCCGTGCTCCGCCCACTCTCCTAAGCAACACGAACCGGGGAGCCTGGAACACAGTGGCAATAGGGGTCACCCACTTTCCCTGCACTCACTGTGGCAATGGGAATTGAAGAGACCTGGCTGTCTGTTCCGCTCCACCCAGAAGTGAGTTGTATTTCATGAAAGCTGATGCCCTAATAAATGTTAGTCTTTAAGGTGCCACCGGACTCATTATTGAAAACAGGGGGACTATTTGCATGACTATGGACCACTTTTTTGGTAAGAGTTTCAGGAGTCAGTTCTCTTCCTATCAAGTTAAATTTAATTTCCCATTGAATTACAGTGTTAGGAGTGTAATACCATACTGCAATTTAGGGTTCAGTTCTAGTTAAAAATTGGTGTTTCAATTATAATACAAGTCATAGATATACTGAAATAAAATGGTTCCTCATCCAACTCTCATATTCCGTATAAACAGACTTGAAATACCACTTATTCAGCAGTGTGATGGGGCATCTGCTCCGTACTGGCCCTTCAAGGGTAAAAGCCAGCCCTGGGAGAGGGCTGAGAGCAAAGCCCACAGCTGAGGTAGATACTGCCTATTAGGGCCCAGCTGGGGGCTATATAAATAAGGGCTCCAGGATGGGAGTGAAGACTCCGAGTATGTCTACACTGCAAGGTTATTTTATGATACCAGAGGTGATGTTAACTACCCTGCATCTTTTGAACGCAGCCACTATTGCGAAATATAGTGGACACGCTATTTCGGCATCCCTGTAAACCTCGTTCCACGAGGGATAATAGATGTCTCAAAATAGTGTGTTATTTAGAAATTTGGTGCTGTGTAGATGTGCCAGATTTCAAAATAGTCTATTTCAAAATAGAATCAACATAAGATACGCTATTTTTATAGCGCAAATTATGTATCTTATTTCAAGTTAAGGGTGCAGTGTAGACACACCCTCAGACACACTCTTGCTCTACCTATGGAGCAGGAGGAACCTAGTACCAGGGAAGCTAGAGGCTTCCTGACTTGGAGGAGGGGTGGAGAAAGACTGGGGAGTTCTGACCTGATCTCACTGCCAGGCTGCAAGGCCTGCGGCGAAGCCTGAGTGTACTAGGGCTGCAGGGAGACAGCCAAACTAGAAAGAGGCAGCAGAACAGGTTCATACCAATGATGAATGGCCATTCCAGACTGCAGTTTGCCTCTTAGGTAAGGGTCTAGTTGACAATTGGTAGTGGGTCACTGAGGCAAGGTGGGTATAGAAGAATTGGGGATTCCCTGGGAGGGGAGGACACCAGAATGCAGAGACACAGAACTGCTAATAAACCCTCAGAAGGGGGAAGAGAGACAACTGTACTGGGCACTGCTGGAGGGCAGGGTCCTAAAGAGGACTCCCTAGTCTGGGAGCGATGGGGTCTAGAACTGGAGCATGGGATAAGAACATAGGGAAATACCAGCCAGAGGGCGGGCCCTGCTGATGAGTCATTCCCAGTGCTACCAGCAGGTGCTGTTGTGGCAGTGAGTACCGCCCCATGAGAGGGAAATTGTGTAGGTAAACATATTGATGCTTGTATATACAAAACACATTTAATCACTGACTGGAAAATGTAGTTGAACTTAATGTAATACCTCATGTGCAGAGTGCGAAAAGGATACCCTCCCACATTATGACCAATAAATAATAAGAATAAGAATAATAAATCTCAAAGAGGCAGAAGTTCACTGATTTGCAAACCTAAAATCCTGTTTTATGCTTTAAACCACCTTAGCACATACCAGGTTTATGGATATTAAAAAGTTAACTGCAAAGGAACACTGAAGCCCATTAATCTGAATGTGTACCAGCCAGTATGCCCTCACTGACTAACAGCTTAGTCACACCTGAACAGCTAAAAATTAACCTTGCTCTTTAAGGTTAAACAGAGTCATGTTACTGGCTCAATCTATGTTGTTACATATCAATTAACCAAACTCCAGGGGGGCATGGTGCTGGCACATAGAGTGTCAGGTACATAATGTAATTTTCCATAATCTCTTTTGAGAATAGACATGTATGTGAAATAGCTGGTACTTATAATTATGCTATTTCTGTACATGTATATTCATCTTAATATCTGAAGTTAGCGGTATGAGTTCTATTTACTGCATGTGTGCTCCAGTGAAAACACCCACAGGTATTTAGCCAGCACATGAAGGGACAAGTCAAGTTGAATGGCCATTAAAGAACACTTAGGTCACAATGGACCCTGGAAAACACCAGCCTACACTTAATGGACATTGCCTGAGAACATTTTAAGTATAATGTGGGTGGGGATGATGGACATGCAACTCTAAATACCATCTTTCATAGTAAGAACGAATTTCCCTTTACTTGGCCCTCAACACATGTTAAAAAGTCTGTGGTGTGGAAACATCTCCATTTTGCCTCTGGCCTGTAAACATATACTAATGGGAGCATTCTAATCAGGAACTGAGGACATTAAGGTAATCTGGAGCCTTCATTCTTAAACCTTTGCAGGTGGATGTATGAGTTGGATATGGTACAGAAACTGTTCTAGCTTCATTGATTGCTGATTTCTCCCTTGCAGTGAACAAAAAATCAGATGTCTGCTGACTTACTCACGAGTCAGCAGCTTGTGATACCTGTGGTATAAGCCCCGGCTTCAGTGGCTTTGTTCTTTCCTCTCCAAATGTCAAAGCCTGTTCCCATTGAACTCAATAGCAAAACTCCTTTTGATTTCAGTGGGAACAGGATTTGACTCCATGAGATTACAGAATGAGATTTTGATCAATTGCTTATCTGCCCAGACACAGCTCTCATGCATCTTCTGCCAGATGGATTTGGATTACCCCCTGCTTTGTGTTATGCTGAGGAAAATTTTTAAAAAATCTGGGCTGTAGTTCTAGTAAGATGCACGTAGCACACCCAGTTCTATTCCTCTTTTCCTTTCAGCTCAAATGGCGTAGCACCTTTAATTTCCTAGTGCCTGGCAGAAAACAAGGTTATGTCCAGACTGCAGAGTTCTATCGGGAAAAGAAGTGCAAATTGCAAACTGCAATTTGTGTATCTTTTTCAGCTTTTTTTTTTTGTTTTTGGAAGAGGCTTTTCTAAATTTTGGCCCATCTACATGGGGCCATATTTCAGAAAAACCTTCTCTTTCGGAACATCCCTTATTCTTCATACAATGAGGAATACAGGGATGCTGAAAAAACATGTCTGCTTTTTTGGAAACTGTTCTGAAAAAGCAAAAGTATTCCTTGGACGCGGCAGAGCTTTTACGGTATATTCCACCCAGAATATGATCCAACCAATTGTGAGGTTAACAAACAAACACGTTCAGGTCTCTTTTGTCCCAGGTGTTTTCAAGACAGTGTTTCTAGTTTCTAGGCAGAAGCAGCAAAATACAGTGAGAGATCCTGTTCTGAGAAGACATCTGGTCTAAACAGAAATTGCAAGTGCTGGGATTGCACAGAAAGCATATTCTAACTAGATTTCCTGCCCAGTTTCATAACAAAAAGATAGTATTCTGATCTGCAGCACAAACTGATGAGTATTTATCTGAATCAAACCTTTCACTTTTGGAGACCTGCTGAATTCAATCCTATTTATTGAAGGTTACCGGAGAATGATTGGAAGATGGCTACAGTTAGGTAGTCATTACTAGTAAACTTAGTGATCAGCCATGTGTCAGGGTAAAAAATAATGATCATAGATAATAAGTAATAGATAGTATCCACAAGACTGAAGTATCACTCCAGAGTTTATCATCATCATTTTAAAATTTCCCACATTAAAAGTTGTAAATAGATTTAATATAGGTCTATTTATAGAATCATAGAATCATAGGACTGGAAGGGACCTCA